TCATTCCGTTTCTCCTGAAAGCCTTTTTTTTTTTTTTTTTTTTTGGTTTTCTGGAATCTTCAGAGCTCCTATTCTTCTTATCCCTTTCCCATATCACTCTTCTCCAGTACCTGGGCCTATCTTTCATTCCATTCCTTCCTTCCTTCCTTGACTCCCTCTCAGTAGCACAGAGCAACATATGGACAGTGGAAGAACACAGCATTGCTTCACTTGGCTTTGGTCAGAATGAAAGTCATAGCTGTGAGATTGCCTGGGCAATGTCCTCCCCACCCATGGTTATTTGATTAGCAATAAAAGTATATCCCTTGCAGTGTGTTTTTGGAGGTGGAATCTGGCCATGAGGAGTTCTTCTTCACCAGCACCATGGGCTTATTCCCCTCTCCCTCACAAGGGCAAGGAAAAGGGAGAGAAATTCCCCTAGCAGGACACATTTATAGTGGGTAGTTTGCAGCTCCCCATAGCATTTCAACCAGGATCCAACTGAGCAGGGCAGAACTCTCAGCTGTGCATGCAAAGACAGATGTTATTAGCTTTTATCCTTTTCAAAGAGTTGAGATATATCTGTCAAGATGGATATATATTTGTACATATAAAGTCTATAAATATATATATTTGGTTTATTCGGGGCCATTCCACCTGAACTGTTGTACAAATGTACAATGTAAATTTAAATGCTTATAATGACTCTTCCAATCCATATGTACGTACATACATAGTCACACTCAGATTGATGGTAAATGTCTCCTGACTCTTCTTTGGCAGCATTTTTGCAAGTTCATATGCTCTTGCTTTGCTACCGGTTGTGATATTGTGTACCTCTTTGCCCAAACTAGAAAAGGCAACAAACCAGGTGCACACTTTTGGTAAAAGAAGGGGTAGCAGTATTTTAACAGTTCCCCCAGTTCTGTCACCTGGTGTTCTTGCTGCTCAAAAAGGGAGCCGTAGAGCCAGTACAGGCATAGAGCAGGTCCTTTCTAGGAGCAATCTCCTGCTTTCTCCATTCCTGGCCTCACTGCTCCACTCCACTGACTTACAGTGTCATTAAAGTACAGTTAATGACGTTTGTGCTTTCTCTTTTCTCTGTTCTGGTTCATTTATTTATTGAGGACATTGAAATATTAAACTTAATATTACAAGTCTAATAAATGCTCAGTATATCAGATGTTTAAACAGCTCTTTAACATAGCCCAGTAATATCTGCACTAGCTTTCGGTAGGCTTCTGGAAAAAGGGGGGCTGAAAATTAGAATGACACGAAATTTGTATTGTCAATCACTTCAGATCTTGATCCATTTCTTTTACTGTGCAGAATCATCCATCAATTTGGCCATAAATAGAATTATCTCCCCTCTAGGTAAATGGAAAACCACCTGCCTGCCCCAACTGCTACTCTTAAACCCAACATGTTATGATGTTGTATCCAATGGTGTCATCCCATTGACAATGACATTTGTCAGAGCTGATCCTTTACATGCAGTCATGTGCTCAGCCTCCAAATCTGCTCATGAACTTTGAAGAAATAGTACCTGCAAACCTAGGGGATGTGTGGTAATGGTGAGGGGAAGAGAGCACGAAGGAGGCCCTGTTGTGTTATACAACCTTAGATGCAGCCCATAATATTCCCTGTATCTACATTGTCCACCCAGCCTCTCTTACCATACTGCCAATTGCAGGGGACACGATGATGATCGTGGTGGTGGTGGTGGTGATAAAAAAAAGTTACTGTCATTTAATTGGAAAGGGACAAGAGAATACTGTGGAACTGATGTTGTGGCTGGAATGATATCAGGAGGTAATTGTGTGGGACATAAGCTGTTCCCAAGTATATGTTGCAAAATCATTGGGGAAAATTGTGGTTACAGAACCAGAAATTGCTTTAAATCAAATGTACAGTGGGGCAAAAAAATATTTAGTCAGCCACCAATTGTGCAAGTTCTCCCACTTAAAAAGATGAG